CCGCCAGTCCCCGGGCGTCGCCTGCTGGCGGGGCTGGCCTGCGCCATCTGCTGGCCGCATCGCAGCACGGGGCCTCCAGCCCGCCGCCCGCGGCACACCCGCGCCGCCGCCGCCGCCTGCTGCCCGCTCCCCATCCCCAACACACGCGCGCGGGCTCCAGCCCGTGTCATGCTGCGCGTCCAGGAAACTGCACATACACTCGCTCATCACACACCCGTACACGATATGCATACACATTTGAGCCGCCGCGCCGCATGCGCGCGCGCGCGCGAGGAGCTGATGACAATTACAGGCAGCCGGCGCAGCCCGCCGCCGCGGGCGCGCGGGCCCCTGCTATCTGCTGCCCATCTCAACCCGGACCCTTTGCGCCCTGGACACCCTCTCAACCTCCGACAGCTCGCAGCGCGCCCCCGCCGCTTGCCCCGGCACAAGCATCCGCCGATATCCCGCCCCCAACCCTCAAAACTGCCAGCCCCGCCTGCGCGCCGTGCCGCAGGGGCCCCGCCGCCGGCCGCGCCGGCCCCCTGCTTTCAGGCGCGGGCCCTCGGGCCAGCGCCAGCCCCGCCCCGCCCCCCTTGTGCTGTTCAACCTGTGTGCCCAGCCTCGCCTCCCCTCCTGTGCTTCCGCAGCAACACGCCCGCGGCTCCGTGAATGCATGTTGCCTTGCCCAACAGGTCAACCGACATATTGGTGGCCCCGATTCGAGCGCGGCAGCCGTCGCATGTCACCGCCTGCACGGCGACGCGCCTCAGCCCTTACCTTGAGCGTTCATCTGTTGATGATGAGCGCCGCGCCAGGGACCCCCGCCTCAGGCATGAGCATGTGGGTGCACAAGAAAGAATTTCACATTGTGTTGTAATCGTATCAATTGCGCTGCCGCCTAAACCCTGCCCAGAGTGGGCTAGAGCGCCAGGGCGCCGGGGGCTGCCAGCTCACCATCAGTCCCATCGGCCGCGTTTCGGCTCGCCGCACGTGTGCGCTGATTGTGCGAGCCAGGGGCTTCCGTGACAACGTCTCTCCACTTCAGGTTGTCATCGCGCGGTGCCTCGTAGTGCATGGCTCTGGCTCGTGAATATCGCACGTGCGCACCAGCAGTGGGTGGTTTCGTCATTTCAGACAGGCACTTGGGTCCACCAGGAGGAACCCAAGTTTCGTGGCTACATTTAATTTCGATTTAAGGCCGATATACCGCATCCCATTCCGTTAAACCGGCCACTACGGTCGCAGCTGCAGCCACAAACAATCGCTGGCCGATACAGGTCTGCCGCGTGGGCAGCGGATCCTGCTGCACCCATCGACGATGGTTGCTGGCAAATGGATCTTATTGGGACTCATGTTCATGGCAAGGCAGGCGGCGTGCAGGTGAGAATGGCTCCCGAGCATTGTAGAGTGCTACGACCGCGGACACGCAGCGCCCCATGGGGTGTGCGTGGGCCTATTTCGTCACGAAACATCTTATTCTGATCCCCCAAACCCCGCACAGGCCCTTTGGTGATGAATCGGCCGTCCGTCTCAGGACCCCGCCGCCCGTGCGCAGCGGAACGGTCTTCTACGATAAGTACGGGCGCCCCATCTCCCTGACCAGGTCCAGCAAGGAGTCCTTGTGGGCTTGGGAAGGCAGGCTGGTGGACTCGTTCATCCTGTACGACAAAAACGGAAACGTCGTCGCCAAGCCGCAGCTTGCATTTCCCCAGGTGGGGTGGCCTCGGTGGGGTGGCAACGCTCCCGCGCATGCCTGCAGGCTGGCCCCACGTGCCTGTCCGCGCGCTGCTTTGAAATTCATGTCTGAAGGCTTCAATGCCTCGCAAGCCCTGCTGGTGGCAAGCTGCAGCAGGGGCGGCACAGGCCCGCTGAAGGTGTTAATACCTGTATCTGCACGCCCACAGATCTCTGGCTGCCCCCCATCCAACCTGCACTCCCGCAGGGTGAGGGACCCAAGCCTGACAGCAGCCTCCCTCGGCCCCTGGCAATGCAGCCCGTCCTGTTCCCCTATACGGCTGCCCCCACAACTGTCCCCAGCGCGGCGGCACCGCCGCAAGCTGAGCGGCAGCAGCAGCAGCAGCAGCAGCAGCAACAGCAGCAGCAGCAGCAGCAGGGGGCCAATCGGCCTGCCGCGAACCAGCGGGGTGCTGTCGACCCGGTCAGCATGATCGACCTGTTGACGCCATTTGTGGCTGAGCCCATCGCCCAGCAGATTGCAGGCGGCGCGGCGTCCGCGGCGGGACCTGGAGCCCCGGCCCAGCAGGCACTGCAGGGCGAGAAGCAGCCGGTACTGCCGATATTGTTCTGGCCGTTCTCTGGCTTGCAGAAGGGCTGACGGCGTGGATTGGACGGTGCAGCGCGACAGCTCGTGTGCGGCGCTAGTGGGAGGGGAGAGCATAACATGTGCACTGCATCTGAGTGCCTGCGGATGTTGCATGCAGGACTCGAAGAGCCCGCAGGTACGCTGCCGTGTCGCAGTGGTCGGGGCTTGTCGAAATGGCAAACCCGTTCTGGGCTTGAAAGTTTTGGGGAGCGTGAGTGAGGCACACCCCAGCAGTAGGCGCGCCAGCGTCTCTGCTGTTTTTGCACTGCAATGAGCGAGTTTGCTTGCGCTGCTGTTGCGGTCACCGACAAGAGGGGCGCACGCTGCACCTCTGCTTGAGAAGCTACTGACTGGGCTTGATTGATTCAGTGGCCACTCAATTTAGTTTTTGAGTTCAATTTCGAGCTGCATCGATTGATCACCACCGGCTGTTTGCCTTGCCATGTGTGCTGGTTTGTACCCGTTATGGCGCTGCCTACACGCCAAGCAGCCCCCAGACATGTGGCAGTGGGATGTCTCGCATGAGGGATGCATCCGCCAACAAGACTTGTATTCCTGAATCACCACCTGCTTGCATCTACTGAAGGAAATCCAACCACTTGGTACTGTGGATCCTTGTGCGCCACATCTGCGCGCTTTCCTAATTTTGAGCATGGAAGAAACCGTGAAGCACGTTCAAAACCTCAACGCTGTGGGCGTGAGCTGACTGTACGCCCGCAGTGCCCGCGGCCATGAGGTGCACCCCTCTCATGAGAGCCCCGCCCATCTCAACCCTGCATGCACGGACGCCCTTCCTGATGCACCGCCCGTGCGTTCATCCCAGTGTGTGACTGCTGCTGAGTAATATGGCCTGCGCTGCACTATACACTGTCTACAAACACCCGCAGCGCGCGGCGGTTTCGAGCACGCCACCTTGCGCCCGTTGATTGCTTGTTTGTCAAAGCACGGGCAGCCATGTCAAGCGGCATGCGGACATCAGACTGGGCTGGGTCCTTGCGTGCTCCGCAGCGACAACCGGGGCAGTGCATGTGGCCCCCCTCAAAGCCGAGATCGTGCTGCGACGCGGCTTAGCTGCCCCAAGCCCATCCTCTAGCCACACTCCCGCCACGCAATCAGCCAGGGGCTCCTTTCCTTGTCCTCGGCCACTTTATTCGCATTGACAAAGCTCGAAGGAGCGTGTGCCTCCCCGCTGAGGCGCCATCGTGGTTCAGCAGGTGGCAAGCTACCACTGCTGCAGCTGTTCCCCCCAGCTGTTGAAGGGGGGAACCTCGCTGGTGAGACTCTATTGCCAACTCCCCGACGGTGAAACTTTGACATGTACCAGAGGCGATTTGAGATAAGCGCATTGCGTGACAGAAGTGGCAGCATCGCGGACGTTGAGACGTTCGTTGGGTGTCACCCGAACACTGTCACTGCTCTCTGCCGGCGGATCCCATAAAATCTTCAGTGATTGATGTTGGTTTTAAGTATTCACTACAGCTAATTGACACACGCGCATTGCTACCACCTGCAGCTCCAAGTTGGCCGGGAACATACCCGTTCAACCTCATCTCGATATCCACACGTTGTCCCACCCATGATGAAGGCTGCCGTATTTCTGGCCGTCTTGGTCCTTCTGGCCAGCTGCGAGGCTGCCAGGTGCGGCCAGGCGTTGCCAGGGTCATCTCACACACTAGCAAGCGTCAGCATCACTGGCGCACTTGCGTGGCATCATGACGTGTGGCATTGCGTCCCGTGCAGCGCGAGCACCTGCGTGCATTGTGCTGCTTCCATAGCTTTCACTCCGCCGCCGCCAGAATTCACCACGATTTGGCGCTGTTAAGCTGCTCCACCTGGCGCCCACCTGCTCCGCCCACCGTTGTCACCACCACCGTGACACCCAGAACCCACCCACCCCTCTGCTCCCACAGGCCAACCCCAGAGGGCCGCGTGCTGCTCGGCACCGACTTCTTCCCCGGCAAGGGCAGCACCGAGCCCTACCCGCCTGCCGCCGTCATCTCCTTTGGCGGCGGCGGCGTCAGCGGCGGGAGCGTCCTGGTCTTGAAGGGGGGGACCGGCAAGGCCCCCCAGGTCGCCGTGCAGGGGCGCACCTTCACGCAGCCCATGCTGTCGGTCACCAAGGCCCCCACAACCACCCTGGACGTCGCGTCCGTCGCCGGTCCAGTCGACAAGGTCGGCGGGCGCTGAAGCGCTGCCCTGCTGCGCGACGTGCGCGTGCGTGCAGGCGCACGCGCCGGGCGCACGGCGTGGGCCGGCGGCCAGGCAGAGGCGCAGCAGTGCACCCATGACTCATTGCTGAATAGCTTGGCGCATGCCTCAAGGGGATGCGACGGACCGCCTGCTGGCACGAGGGCCTGATCTGAAGCTCACACAGTCGAGGGACATGCACACAGCGACATGCATGGTGGGTGCCGGGGTTCTGAGTCGGCATTGTCCCGCCATAGGCCCTGGAACGAATTGGCCTCAGCGCCGGCCCGTGTAAGTAACCACTTGAACGCTGTGTTGGCAGGCACCACTGCGGCGCCGTTCCCATCGAGTATACACTTGTTTTCGCCGAGGGTTTTGCGACCGGGTGTTACCAAATGGCCAACCTGCCTGTGTGCCATCGTTGGCTGTAGCACCCATTCCTGTGAATGGCAGCCGCCAGTGCAAAACACTTCTACGCATGCATGGCACGTTTGACACAGTCATATGGGGGCTCAGATGCTGCTCCCCAGCGCATGCGCGTGGTGGGGCTCTTGAATGTATCGCGATCACTGCTCTGAGCTTGCTGGCACTGCTCTGGCAACGATTGGTTCAGCATCATGTTAAAATCCATGTAAATCACTGTCTTAGCTACCAGCGAGCACGTGTCCCAGGTCCTTGTCGCACAGAGGCGTTCTGGGTGCAACTGACAAGAAGGACTTGAATGCTGACTTGATCCCGGGCGGTGTGGACGAGCGAGCGCGACTTGTAATGTAACTGTGTGACAGTCCATCGTTTCAAAAACGTCACTGCAAAATCAAGGGTTTCTGATACAGTGGTGCAGCAGGTGTATTTTTCAGGATGATGCAATGGATTGTGCATTGCAAATGCAATGCCATGCCGCCTATGAGGTGCTCCTGCATGTGGCGCTGAGCGTCCATGATGCCGTTATTGCACACAGGGCGCATGCTGTGGGTATGCGTTAGGTGCTGTGAGTTTGACACATAGTCTGCCCGAACTTATGTTAGCACACGCGCCAGTGCGCAAGGTAGGAACCTGCAGAGCTGTTGCACGGGCACACAACTACCGAGTGCGGTTAGATGCGGACCAGGTCATGCTTTGCAAACGCCTTGCAGAGTGAAGGCAGCGTTATGACGTATTTATTTTATTTTGAGGGCATACTGCAGCGACGGTTGACGCCGAGTCACCTCAGTTACGACACGGTTGATCCTGGACTGCTTGTGTGGAATTGCGAGCGAGTGCGCCTTTCATAGCTGAATAATTCTCAGCTTTCAATCTGTGACGGCTTTGCACCTGTTGTCACCGGCCGTTTCAGGATCGGGCGCTGAGCAGAGCCATTGGAACGAGTGCCCGCGCGCCACTGAGCTCAATCAGCCATGAAATTAACAATAATTCTGCTCGTGGTTCTTCTGGCCGGCTGCGGGGCTGCCAGGTGGGGTTGGGCATGTTGCCTGCGTACGGTACCTTGACAGAGAAACGACGGTGCAGGCACAGGGCGCCACTGCCCAATGCAATGGGTCCCGGCTTCTGAAGTCACCTAAATTTAATGTAGATTGTGCATTGCGTGCAATGCCAGCCCCACCATGCACCTCAGCCCCACCACCGCACGTGCTCACCTGCCCGGCACCCCGCCATGCACCCGCGCGTCATGGCACGCAGGCCGACGCCCGTCCGCTTTGCCGGCCGCAGGGCGCTGCTTGCAAAAGACATCATTGGGAAGGGCGCGCTCGGCCTGCCAGCCCAGCCTGCTCAGCCCGCGGAGACCAGGACCATCAACCCCATCGGCTTTGGCGAGGGGTACGCGGGGGTTTCTCTTGGCACCAAGACAATCCCCGGTTTCTCCTTCACGACTGGCGGCGGCAGCTTCACCCAAGGCAGCGTGAACGTCGTCGGCACCACCACGTACATCGCGCACGGCAAAGGCTCCCTCCCCAAAACTGTGCCGGGCAAGGTGGAAATCCAGGGCGGTGAATGGGTCAAGGGCCCAACCGTGCTTCAAGGGACCCCCGGTGCCGCCCCCACGCCCACGATAATTCACTTCAAACCCGGATACGGCCCTGCCGGCAAGGTGGGCCACGGGAGCTGGGGGCTTCCATGCGCGCCACGGAGTCAACAATTGGCATGCGCCTGCTGCGCAGATTTAGACGGAGGTCATAGTGGGCACACACACGCGACGGTGCCGCTTGTGATACGAAGCATGGCTGCAAGGGGTGTGACCCGCACCGTCCCTGCTGTCGCAGGTGCAGCCATATATGCATATCCTTTCAGCGGCTTCAAACATGACCCTCTGCTCCAACTGACCCCCTTGGTCCCTTGCTTGCTGCGCTGCCGCCTGGTGCTGCCGGTCTCGATGTTGGTGCCTTGCCCTGCTGCTGGAATGGCGACCCCAGCTTGCTCCCTTTGGTGGGTGCTGGCCACGTTCGGAACGCGGGCGTTGCTTGCTTCGTAACACTGAGTCCCACTCCGACGTCTTGCTTGGCAGCCAATGCGCCAGCCAGCCGCAGCTGACATCACGAGGGTATCATGCGCGCAAAAATCAGACTGTGCAGCTGCTATAAATGTGGACCCTGCGTTAGCCCCCTCAGCTCCACGCTCACAATTTGCCCACTCTCACCCCTCGTCCCCCTCATAACTGCCACGTAGCCAAGGGCGCTGCGCCTGCTGCGGGAGCCTCAGCGGCGGCTCCTGCGTTTGAGCCCGAGGCAGAGGCCCCTGCTGCTGCCAACCCTGCGCCCGCTGCCCCAAAGCACTAGGCAACTGACGATGTTCACCGGCGCCTGTCCGGGCTCTCACATGAGGTGCTGTGCAGCAAATAAACAACCGCCCGATGGAGGATACGCACACACGTCACAGCACACGGCAAGGGCTGGACAGGAATCGGGGTCGCGCAAAGCCAAGGGCGGGGAGGGGTCCGCGGCAGCGAGCGGTGGAACCCCAGGCCAGCCGTTTGATGCTCACTTCATGCGGCGAAAACGTTCTCTGCAGGCTTGTCACATACTAGCATGCCTCAATTGCATTTTGTTTGATGTTCTCCGCGCCCTGTGGCGCTGTCCATAGCATTTCATGCTGTCGGTTCTGCAGGACATCGGATGTGCTTTGTTTGCAAACACGCTCTATGTTTGTGCCGCCGCACCGCACCTGGCCGCGTCGCGAGGTGGACGGGCAGCAGCTCAACTTGCATGTACCCATCGTGGAATGTACATATACTTTGTGCTACACGATTGCTGTCCCCGGCGACCTGTGCCGGCTGAGTTGGCGCTTTCGGCGGGTGACGCGTGACGATCTGCACATGCGGATGGGTCAAGTTTGCGTGATGGGATGTATAAAGGGTATGGCGTCACAGTAAAGCCTGATGTGTTTCAACAATTCCACACAGCGTTGTCGGCACACAGAGGGGTCCAGCCTGTCAGACAGATTTAGGCGCACAGAGCAGCGCAGCACGCGAGCTGCGTGTGCGCACGCCCGTGGCCGCCTGTGATTGCCCGGCAAGAGGGGCCGCCGCCACCTGGACCAGGGGGATATGCTTCACCATCATCACTGCCGCGTGCTCCAAGGCATGCCCAGCCTGTAGATGTTGCGCAGGTTGTTGGGCGTGGCACTGGTTGTTGTTTCAGCTTGTGATCTTGATTTATGCAATGCAGCTGCAGCCACTCTCTTCTTTCTACATTCGTGGCTTCAAGCAAGACAGCTTGCCCTGATGCTTGGCATATATAACGCTCTGCATTTGCTGGCCTGCCGTTTTGTTATAGCACTTCTGTGGCTGACATGGCCGCTTTGCGCAGCCTGCACTGTTGGCCTTGTCACACCCCTGCCCCATGAATGGGCCCGTTGCTGCCATCAAGGATGCAAGAAATGCTGCATGGGCCTGACAGACACGACTGGTTTACACATCGTGTGGCGTCGTCAAGACAACCAGGTGCAAAAAATGTCCAGGCACACCAACATCGTGCCCTGAAAATCATGCGAAGTTGCAGCTCCTGCCGCCCCAACATGGGACGTGCATCGGTTCAAAACACACACAGCTTTTCATCTTCCGTACCCGGCCGACTGGGGCGTGCAGATGCCAACACCACCACACACACCCCAATTGTGAACTCATGCCAATGGTCGGTGCAATGCAAGGAATGATCAGTTCCCACCAAGCAATGCAGAAATGGTGTGTTGTTTCTCAAGGAGACAGGAAACGAAATCAAGCCTGGGAGGTTGAACGTTTGCGGTGGGCCAGCAACGGACCCCACACAGCAAAGCACACCTCCGACATTTCCAGACGTCGCACGCTGCGCGCGCGCGCGCATGTTCCCCAGTGACTGCGCTCAATGTCAATCCTGAGTACGGCATCATCAGCGCCTGCGCGCTTCGCCACGCACTGCACTGATTTGTTGACAGTGTTTACAAATTGCTCGCAGCCAAGAACAGTCTCACCGCCTCCGGCCGGCCGCGAGCCTCTACAGCCAAGCCAGCGCGCCCGACGCGCCATCAGCCCGCCCTGCGCCGCAGCAGCACGAGCGCGGCGACGCCGCCCGCGGCCGCCGCCGCCACCAGCAGCGCCGCCGTGCCGGCCCCGAGGCCGCCGCTGGCATACTGCAGGCCGCCCCTGCGCCGCACGAGGTCCAGCACTGAGGCCTGGCCCTCCTGGTAGGCCAGCGCCTTAGCCAGGTCCAGCTCAACGCTGCGCAGGCGCGCCTCCACCTCGGCCAGCAGCCTGGGGGGGTTTCAGGGGGTTGTGTCGAGCGCCAGTTGCGGGTGTGCGCCACGGCGATGGCAGCGGAAGTGTTGGATGCTGGCACAGAAGGGGCGCGGATGTGGTGTTTCGCTGGCGCAGCGGGACGCTGAGTGGCGAATGCGCCGGGAGGTGTTTGGTGCAACAGTCAGGGGGGGCTGCAACATCAAGGCAAAGGGAAGGAAGAGGTGCGTGACACGGCTAATCGCGCAAGGGGCGTGTATCTAAACCACGAGTCTCAGGCCTTGGGATGCGCACCTGTTGCTGTTCAATTGGGCCTGCCCAAGCTCTGCTATCTGCCCCACCAAAGACTCGATCAACTGCACCGCGTCGGCCGGCGCTGCTGCAGGGGGCGCCGATGCCGCCACCACCCTTGAAATGCTGCGAGATGCGACATCCTGCTGCCGATGCTGCTGCTCCTCTTGCTGCTGCTGCTGCTCCTCTAATGGATGCTGCTGCTGCTGCTGCTGCTCCCGCTGCTGCAGCTCCTCCTCCTGCTGCGGCTGCTCGTCCAGCAGCCGCTGCTCAAGCTGCTGCCGCCGCAGGCCGCCCTCTGTCGCATCGAAAAACTCGTCCTCGCTCTCGGCCCCCGAGTCCTCGGACTGTGCCGCAGCCTCGGAAGGCGCGGCATTCTGAGACTGCGCCACAACCTCAGACGGCACGGCACTCTCGAACTGCGCCACAACCTCAGACGGCGCGGCACCCTCCGACTGTGCCTCAGCCTCGGACTGCGCGGCACTCTCGGACTGCGCCTCAGCCACGGACGGCTCGGCAATCTCGGACTGCGCCGCAGCCTCGTGCAGCTCGGCACTGTCGGACTGCGCGGCCGCCTCGAATGGCGCGGCACTCTCGGAGGGCGCCGCAGCAAGCAGGGCGGCGCCCTCAGCAGCCGCACCTGCCAACGGTGAACTGGGCCCGGAAGCCGCACAGGCAGGCAGGGCACCGCCCTCGTGCGCCGTGGGCACGACCAACGTGGCGCTCGCCGCGTCCGCCTGCGGCGTCGCAGCGGAGAGCAGCAGCCGCGCCGCCGCCACCACCGCGGCCGCCTCCGCCGCGCCGCTGCTGGCCGCGAGTGGCGGCGTGTCGGGCGCGACCACCCATTCCTTGTCCCCCTTGATGCGCGCGCCGATGCCGCGGCTGCTGCCGCTGCCGGCGCTGCTGTCGCATGTCAAAGCGTCCCCCGTCGCGTCCACAACCACGGCGGCAGCTGCCGCCGGGCCAGGCTCCGAAGCGAGGGGAGCCAGCTTTGGCCGTGGTGCGGGAACAGGGGCAGCCAGGTGCTCCTTGCAGAGCATCTGAAAACGCAGCAGGGAGAGTCAGGCAAGTTTGCAGCCCGTCAGGCGCGGCCGCACACGCCCCGGGCTGCGCAGCCGGCAGGGACCAGGACAGCTGTAAAAACAAGCAGAGATTCCACGCACCCTCGTCGCCGCGCGCCGGCTCAAGACCCTGCGCCAACGCCTGAGCAATCAGCAGGCCCCTGGCGCGCGCACGTCTGCTGCAGCCAACCCCCGGCCTGCCGCGCCTCCCGGGCGCACCCCCTCTGCACAATTTTTGCTCCGCCGTCCTCGGCGTCGAACTGCGGAGGCTGCAGCTCCTGCCGCGCAGTGGATGCCCGCACCCCCCTGGGAGTCCCCAAAAGGCGAGCAGACCCCGCCCCCCTCACCTCGCAGAAGTCGAGGAATCCAGCCAGTGACTGCTTGGCCTGGTCGGCCATCAGCCCCTCCACCGTCTTCTGCATGACCCACGGCACGCCCGCGCTGCAGCGCACCAGGCACGACAGCGCGACGGCGGCCAGCGCGCCGCAGGGCGCGTCGCGCACCGTCAGCTGCGCGTGGGTCGGGAAGTTGGCGGCGCCGGGGAACTGCAATGGATGGGGCGGAGCGAGCGGGGCGGCACGACGGTGATCATGATGGCAACACCAGGAGCTCCCGCAGCTTGAAACCGCAGAGCCGAGCGGGTGACTCCACGGCGCGACTGCTGCTGCGCGGTCGGGAGGTGGGCGGACGCGGATGCGGCCCGCAGCGTCGCGCGGCAGCAGCGGCGCCAGAAAGCTTCCCCGGGCCCTCAGGACGCCGCCGCGATAACAAAGAGCAGCAGCCCACCGTCAGTTCCGGCTCTGACGTCACTGTGAAGCTGCAGCCGCCGTCCCACACAACAGTCTGGACCTCGCGCACTGGGATGGGCCCGGCGCCTGCACACACGCAGTATTACACGCATGGGTTGGTCAAAAGAGCGCCCATGCGCACGGCGCCGCGCCGTGCCGCACGGAACCCACTGCATGTTGCAGCCCGGCCATCATGTACAGGCGTGCCCACGGCCACCCGGCATCCGCACCCCGGCGGCCCCGGCCAGCCCCGACGAGCTGCAAGCCGCGGCCCCGCCCGCGCCGCGGCGCAGCCGTTTCGGGCGCAGGCGTACGCCTGCACGTCGCGCGCCTCCTGGGCTGCCCCCAGCCCCGCCCCCTCACCGACGATCTTTTGAAAGGCTGAGGGCAGCGCCAGGGCAATGGTAAAGTGCACGGTGCGGCGGCCGTCCAGCCAGGGCGACGCGACCGCGTGGTTGCAGCCGTTGGCGGTCGCGTGGTAGCGCTTCAGGGGGGCCGCGTCAGCGTACACGATGTCGTAAAACCGCTGCGTGTGTGTGTGTGTGTGTGTGTGTGTGTGTGTGTGTGTGGGTGGGGGAGAGAGCGAGGGAGGATCTGGCAGCTGCGCTCAAGAGGGCGGCGCGGCGAGGACGCAGCTGCGCGCAGGCGTGAGCCGCAAACGAGAGCGCCGCCGGGCTGTTGGAGCTGTCAAAGACGTCCAGAGAGGTCGTATCGAGGGAGGTTGCGCTGTGTGCGGCATGCCGATGTCGCAAAAGCGCGCGCACGAAGCGTCGGCGCGCGCTCGCACCTGCGCATCAACGCCATACACCCGGGCGTCTATCTTAGCTTCCCGGACCATGGCTGCAAGCGCTGTACGACTGCTCTATGAAAGGACTGCCAACATCTGCCGGCGAGCCCGACCTTGGCGCCAGGCACCCGCACGAGCGATGCGGCGCATCCAGCGCCGCGGGCTTCGCTGCGTTGCGCGCTGTCACGGGGCGCCACTCGTGGCTGCCGCCTGTCACAAAACTGCACGTCGATGCCTGTCAATTATTTCAACGTCCCGAGCGGCCCGCCCTGGTCCCGTGGCGACACAGTGGACGGGAGCGTTGCGGCTGAATGGAGAGTGCGACGCCAGGCGAGTGTGTGTTTTGATGCGGAAAAGTACACCAGATACGTGGAACGAGCAAAGCAAAGGCATCTCGTCCATCGAAACACCGTCCATACGCGTGTGTGTCACGAGGGCAGTACTATGGCCACCATTCTGGGTGACACTGCCTCGGCTCCTTCACTACTCCTCTGATGGACAGAGTTATGAGAATCAGTGATATCTGCAGGGCCAGGACAGCAGCGGGCGTAGCCTGTGCAGGAAGATCCTGCCCCCAGGTTGCCTGCCTCCTTTTGAAGACTGCACGGTATGGCACAGCGTGGGGCTTTGCTACATAACAGTAGCGAGCGCAAGGTGCGTCTTCTGCACAGCAGGTCGGTGGGTGGGCGCCGGCACGGCGGACTTGTCTTTCTGCGCAGGATGCAAGGTTGATGGGCCAGACATACATCATCAGCAGCGGCAGCAACGGCGGCAGCAGCAGCTCCACTGTGCGGCCAAGAGGTCGCAAAGGTTCATGGTGTGATGTAGCGCCGTGGTGGCGGCTGAGTTTTCCGGAGCCTGCCCCTGACAACAGGCCGGGCGAAGCCTGCATTTCCAGATGGGTGGCAACAGCTACAGCCATTGGGACCGCAAGGAGGGTGGGGTGATAGGCCACTGCTGTGCATGCGCGAGAGGGTACGCGGGACAAGACACGAAGTGCGCGCGGGGCTCCTGACAACAACACCGAACACATACACCTTCAGCGCGCAATGGGTCGGCGAGCGGGCGCTTTGACGATTCCGAAGCAGGCGCGCCACCCGTGCGAGTTCCGCAGTTGTGGAATTGCTACCAAACGTTGGTATGAATCCACTAAATCGTTACCAGTGCTCTTCTGTATCAGAGACGCTGTCATACCGGCAACAAGGTGGTGCCCTCGTTGTCAGTGCCGAGCATTGATCTAGACCCCCGTGCTGCGCAGCTCCCACCCTCAAAAGATGCAGCTTAGAGCTCAGTTTGCCCCGGCAGCACGCCTCGCCAGACCTAGCCCGCGGCAAGCAAGCAGGGTGCCGCGGTCGCTGGTCGTGAGGGCAAGCAGCAGGGAGGTCGACGCGGAGTACATTGAGGTGCGCTGATGAAGCGAGTGGTTCAATGGGATCAGTCACGGGCACTGCAAGCGTTCAAGGGCTGCGCCCAAGGGCCATGACCGGACGAGCAGGGCCAATGGGAAGCACCCTGGCAGCGCCCCACGTGGGAAAGGGGCCGCTAGGTCGCTTGGGCAGGCCACGAGCATATCGATCACGCCGCAGCGTGGCGCGTCGTGGGCGTCAAACACACTAGCGCCCGACAGCGTGGGCGCGTGCAGGCCCATGTGGACGGCGCACGCCGCGCGGCGCCCCGGCCGCGCGCGCCCAGGGGCCCCGTTCCCGACCCGCCAACCGCCCGCCCCTGCAGGTCAAGGTGGACAGCGTGCGCGTGTCGCAGGGCAGCGCGGTTGTTTACCTGCGGGTGCTCGACACCACGGGCTACGTCATCCCTGTTCACATTGGGGAAGCCGAGTCCAACGCGCTCCTCAAGGAGATCAACAAGCAGCGCCAGTCGCGGCCCCTGACACACGACATGGCCAAGAACATGCTGCAGGCGATCGGGTTCCGGGTGACCAAGGTGCGGGCCGCGGGCAGGGGGCGGGGGGTGCGGGTCATGGGGACGGCGCGAGGGCAGCGGCCTTGCGGGCGGCGCCCGGTCTGAGGCGAGCGGGGGCGCGCCCCTGGTCTGCCGGCGGGGCGAGGCGCTCGGGCCCCCAAGCGGGGGTGCGGTGTTGGCTGAGCGACACCACCCTGGGTCGCACCAAGCACCTCTGGCAGACGCGGATTGCTTTCCTCCACCACCCACAGCTCGCGCCGCACGCACGCGCTCGCTTCGCCGCCTGGCGCGACCCACCCTACTTGGCCCCCACCCCGCGGCCTGTTTCCGCCACCCTACCCCGCTCCTCACCGCCGCCGACGCCACACCCCACAAACCCAGATCCGCGTGACCGACATCATCGCCAACACGTACTACGCACGCATCCACCTCGCGCGCCCCGCCTCGGACTCCTCAAACCCGGCAGAGGCCGCCGAGGTCGACGTGGACGCGCGGCCCTCTGACGCGATCAACCTGGCCGTTCGCTTCGGCGCCCCCATGTACGTGGCCAAGAAGATCGTCGAGGCGGCCGCCACACCCCCGCTGGAGCCGTTTGGGCTGTCGGTGAGCCGGCAGTCGGGAGTGGGAGTGCAGGGGCGGCCGTTGTGGCGGGACGAGCCCCTCGGTTTTTTTGGGGGGGGGGCGGCGCACGCAGCGTTTCGAGGCTCATGGAGAGGGGGCGGTCGCTGCTGTGATGCTGCGCGACCAAGAAATAGTAGCAGCTGCTGGCGTGGCAGCAGCAGCAGCGGCAGCAGCAGCAGCAGCGGCAGCAGCAGCGGCAGCAGCAGCAGCAGCAGCAGCAGCAGCTGCCGCGGCGGCAGCAGGAGTAGCGGCAGCAGCGGCGGGAGCGGCCCCAGCGCCAGCAGCGGCACCAATGTCGCCAGCGTTGAATCATAAAATTCGCGCCCCCCCCCAAACCCCCTGCTGCCTGCGGCACCACCCAGGCCTCCCCGAGCAGCCCGGCCGCGACGAGCTACCAGCCCACGGAGAGCAACGCGGAGATTGTCAGGAGCGTGCGCGACGCGCTGTCATCCTACGACGACCCCACGGTGGGCGCGGCTGTGGATCGCATGATCTCACCTGGGCTTAAACAGAGCCGCGCCCGGTGCCGCAGCGGCGACGCGGGGTAACACCCACACGCACCGTGGCTCCACCACACACACACACACACACACACACACACACACACACACACACACACACACACACACACACAGTCTGACACTCGCATAAAGCGCTCGCATGCGCACTTGGAAGGGAACAAACTCGAACGCTCGTATGCGCGTCTCACCCGCTCCCTCACATGCACCGACACCCAAGCAAACATGGTTTCAAATCAAGCTTTCGATCCACCCGACCGTTCACCCCCGGCCCAGGTGATGTTTCAGCTCCAAAAGGAGCTCGCGATAAAGGAGGAGCGCTTTGAGGACGCCAGGTGGGCAGGCCGCAGCCCTGGGGGCCAGGCAGGGCGGCGGCGCAGCGAGGCGCTCGCTCACGTGTTGAGACTGACACGCTTTGTCGTGGGATGGGGGCAGCTGCGGGTCGGCAGGCGGGCGGGCGGGCGCTCGTGCGGTTGACGAGGCCGAAGATTGCCCAGCTGGCGCCGCCAGACGTGCCCGCACTGCCCCGTACAAGGCATGCCCGCACAAGGGCCAACCCCAATTACCCCCCTCCCCTCTCACCCCCACGCCCATCGCACCCCGGCCCCCTCACAACCGCACCCGGCCATCGCAGGTCCTTCCACGACCACATCGTCCACGAGATGACCCACAACCGCCTGCTGCGCATGGTGGTCGCCATGGAGACCGCATTGGCCGACGGGCGGTACGAGGAGGCCGCCAAGCTGCGGGACGAGTACCGCCGCGCCGTCACCGAGGCCGCGCTGCAGACGCAGAGCCAGAAGAACGCAGACACCCGGTGACGCCGCGGTTGGCGTCACCGCGGGCGGCGCGGCCGGCGTCACCGCCGCGGCCCTGACGGCTGCACCCAAGGGCGTGCACCGCCGAGGGGCGTCCCGCCTCTGTTTGTTGGTCTTGCACAACGCGCTGGAGATAGGGGCTTCAGCGGCGCTTTGCACGCCCAATTGACACGCAGGTCAGTGGGAGGCGGGTCGGGGCTTGAGCCGGGCTCGGCACTGCCGCTCACTGGACGCTCCGCGTCTGGAGGGCCCGCCCGCGACGCCACTTTCGGGCTCAGCGCGGGGCGGAGCGGGGCTAGGGAAGGCTGTAGTGCTCCCGCTTTTGTTTTCTACACCCCGTGATTTTTTGGGGCTGCCAGGTACTGGCGGCAGCTGTGGCTTCCCCTCCCCCAGCCATTCATGGGCGAGCAGAGTGGCACGACCACAGTTTGCAAGTTGTTGAGAGAGCCTTTTTTTGGCCGCGTCACGTTTTGCCGCCCTGCTCGCACGGACGTCAGCCCCGCCTGATGCGGTCAGGGGTCGGCCAAGCCCCGACCCCGGGTGCTGTAGACAATTAGCCCCCCAGACCACCGAACGGACACCGGCGCGAGCACGCGCCTTGGACCGAGGCGCCCGGCGCCCTTGACGGCCGCTCCTTCGCTGCCAAGGGGCCGCGCCACGCAATTGCCTTGCGTCTGTACTAGAAGCGCAGTGGCGGCGCCCCGCTGCGTGCTCTCTGCTCGGCCCCACGTGCCGACCAGCATGCAACCGCTGCGCAACCCCTCTCGGCGCCGCCTTGCTGCTTTCGCCTGGTTACCTCGCCCAGCATGCCTGCGCGCCGCCGCCACCCACTGGGCCGCCGCGGCGCGGGGCGCTTGTTGTACACTAAGAAATGCAGCCAAGCGCCCCGGCGACAGCGCTGCAATGCCTGCTGCCTGCGGCTCTCGCCTCTTTTTGCCTCCTCTTTTGTCCTCGCTCGCGCGAAGGGCTAGGCCTAGGGTTGGTGGCCTCATGTACCATCAACTGAATGTTGTTCTTCACTTACCAAACTGTTGTCATCCTCCATTATGTATTCTAGCAACCCCCCAGCCGTGGCGCAGGGTCAGGGTGTCTGGCGCCGCCAACACCACACAGCCCTGTGCGCAGGCGGCGCCGGGTATGGGCGCCGCACCTGGTGCGGGCGGGTGCCTGCAAGTGCGCACCCTTGCCCCCGTTCCATGGGCGGCCCCGTCTTGCAGCGCGCCATGCCAATGGAGCGCAGCTCATCATCCTTGAAGCGGTGATTGCCTTCTTTCAGACGCGCATTTCAGCCTCACGGCCGGCTTTGCACTGCAGCCTTCCTGGTAACGAGCACGACAAATCGATATCGGGGTGACGGTGTGTCAGCAGCCTACGATTTTGAAGCAAGTGTCAGCTGGTGTCCGTTGAGGGTCTGCAATTGTGACATGACCATTGACACTAGCAAGAGCAACGGGCTGAACAACCTACGGCGCCCAGTGGCGGCGGAATGGGTGCATGGAGCTTGTCAGGCCTGGTCAAAGCAGCGGGGATTAGTCAGCAGTCAGTCAGCAGTGGGTCACCCGCCAAATCACGCAGAACGACCGTAAAAATGACTAGTGACGAGAGCGGGTACATGTGTGGAAGTCGGTCCACGAGAATGGCCCACTGCGCACGCTTGAGGGTTGCCGATGCACTCAACAAGTCACCATCGTCGACCCCCAGAGCGCTGCGACAATGTTGCCGCAACGACGTTTGCAGCGCTCTGCAACTCTCAAACATCACTGTAGCGTGTGGTAAATCACAACACTGATTGGCACCCAGGTCTTTGCTTGCTGCGGCTTAGGCTTTCAACATAGAACACATCAACAAGACCAGCCTGGGGGGAAGGGGGATCTGAGACCGCAGCAGCGACATGAGGCCCAGGTGCGAGCTTGTTATGAGTGCTATCTATGGTTTTACGTGCCCATATTATCGCCAGCAGCCCTAACCAGCGTTCAATTGCCCTCGCCCTTCGAGCAGCCAGTCGCTGTTTCGGCTCGTACAGCTATGTATGATTGCAGTCATGTGCGTAGTGAGCGTGCTCGTGGGCCATCATTTCTGCGGCGGCAGCACTGGTGGCGCCCTGGGCGGTGCGGCGAGCAGCAAGGCCCCATCCGCAGCGCTGTCAGCACGCCTCAAAGGCAGAGCCGACAACGGCAGCGACGCCACCGCGGCCGGCGCAGACGGAGGCGCAGCGACGGATACGAAAGAGCAGTCTGACGCCTCTGGGGAGGAGGCCGTGCGGGCGCTCAACACTGCGCTGCGTCTGATGGAGAAGGCTGGGGTGGGCCTCAACATGTCGCAGCTGCTGGACTTCAACCGCGCGCGGGTGGCGCTGTACACTAAATCAGACGCATTCAAAAGGTGCGTGTTTGTGTGCGTGTGTGTGCGTGTGTGTGTGTGTGTGGGGGGGGGTGGCATCATGCATGCGAACCAGCGAGGGGCTGCGAGCGCACGGGATGGTCGGGGCGCAGCGGCAGGGGTGGCGTCGCAGTGCGCC